CCACCCCCAATCCTCACCAACCCTCCCCCACTTTCCTCTTCACTGTCCGTCCCTGCTGCCACCGCTCGGGGCAAGACGATCCTATAGATCAGCTTTTTCAATCCGGTTCTCAGGGACCCAAGGTCCACATTTTTGGCGAAGCTGGGAGGGAGCAAAAATGTGGACCGACTGTGGGTCCCCAAGAGTATTGGGAAACAATGCTGTAGATGAGAGTCCCGGGTCCTTATGGACCTCCCAGCATCCTCTGCAGCAAACCAGGGGGTGCCATAGGGCCAGCGACATGAACGCAACAGAGGACACAAGGTACATTTCTAAGAAGCCCTGAGACTCTCCAAGTTCTCCTGTCTCTCTCTGGCTGCCAGATTGCAATACTTTGACAGGTTGGGGGCTCTCCTCTCACCCCCAAACTGGCCCCATTTTCCAGTGTTCCCAGGAAATCTCTCACTTTCTCCAGTTCAATTACAAAGGTATTGATATTTTTTTTTGGGGGGGGGGGGGGGAGGTTTCTCTCCACACCCAAGCCTTTGGAGTGTTTTCAGCATCATGAATGCTGTAATAATCCTCTCATATGGATAAATGAATAAATAGTGTCAGGTTTCCGTTCAAAAGGTTGGTTTTTGTCTGGGTTCTGTGTCCGTTCATGCAGCAGGGAGGGTTCGGGCCAGTGGTGAGGAATAGATCTTCTGCATGGCGCTCGAGGTGGGAGGTGGTGGATTATGATGGAGGGAGGGTTGCCGTGACGATCCATTATACGACTGTGCAAAATGGAAAGAAAAACAAACAGGTAGTGAGTCAGTAAACAGACTTATTAAGATGCTGCAGTGCTTTCCGCCAGCAGGGGGCGCAAGCAGACTCCCACCCCAGGACTGGGATCCTCTCTCGTTCGTTTCCACTCGTTAAGTTCCAGGTGAGCCATTAATTAGAGAGGGGATATACTAACGTGGAGGAGGGGAATAGGGGTGTGTGGGTGTCAAATTATGGGCCGGCCTACCCAGCGGGCCCCGGGTTACACGCCGGGGAGCTGTCGCCGGCCTTGGTCTCGGGGCGGCACAGGGAGGCCGGGTCATGGCAGCCTCCGCGCTACGCCACCAGCCCGACACGCCACGCTTTCTATTTAAGATCCTCGCATAACCGAGTCCCCCTAAACATCGCAATCAGAAACCACCCTTGGAGCTGCCAGCATAATTACAGATTGGCAGGCGGCCCCCGCACTTTGATTTCTCAGTAATTCCAGCGTAATGGGCTATATGGGGATGCCTCCGTAGGTGCTGAGCGGCGTGAGTCATTCTGAGATAGTGTGTGTGTGGGGGGGGGGGGGCGGTCTCCCTGCCCTGCTGTCGCTCGTGACGTCGCGTCTGATGCATCACGTCGGCCAGTAAACCGCCTCCTTAACGCCAAGGGGACACCTGGACTGGGGGGGGGGGGGCATGAAGCTGACCCTGAATGCCAGAGTCACCCAGTCACATGGGGAAGGCACTCGCCGACCTCACAGACAGCTGACCTCACAGTCATTGCAAAGTAAATTCCTGGCATTTTTGGATCATATAAAGATGGTTTGAGTTTTAATCCCCCTTTAGGTGGTGCCCGTCGTAAAGGCTACCATGAGCTCTAACTCGCTCTTTATCTCCAGCCCGGTGCTTAGACCCACATTAGAGCCGAGACCTTCTCTATTCATCCAGCCGTAGTGGATGATCATTCGTTATTTTATTTTAACAGCACTGAAGCAGCGTGGTGTCACTCCATTTAAGTATGAGATGTGACTATGGTACTTATACAGGCTACTGCATCAGTTTACTCACATTAGAGTTTCATTCTCCTATACACATATGCCCCCCCCCCCATGGAAAGCAGCCTCACCACGTGACTCAGAATAACGTCCTCGCTGCCGTGTCTTTATAGCCACATTTACTGCAAACCAGGTCCCATAAAACTATTTATTGGGGTTGATGTTGTTAGATACACAGACCTCAGTTGCCAGTAAACATGTTTGTTTTGTTTTTTTTAAACAGTCCATGAATGAGAATGGTCCCTGGGCTAGGATCATGGGTCACTATCATCCTGGGTTTTGGGGGGGGGGTCCTTCCACGGGTTACAGTGGAAGGTTGCTGGAAGCTTCTTCAGACACACATGCGTTGGCTTGGTGTTGACTGCTGGGCCAGGGGTCACTGGATGGATGTGCACCTTCACACTTGAAAACCAGGCAGGTTTGGAAAACTGTACAGTAGGGATTTTGCACCATGTGCATATGTGTGTGAGATGAACATGATTCAGAAAAGCCACAAACATGAAGACATACTTGGGCAAATGATGCAATCGTGACTGCGGCCAGTGGAAATTCTCACCTCACACGCCTTCCTGTTTAGACACGTGTAGCTGTCATTCTACCACAAAATGATTATCAGTGTTTTTTTACCTTTTGTGCAAAATGACATTTTGGCCACTGTTTACTATCCATCACTCCTACCCCTCAGATTATTTCATAGACACAGAGCGCCCTTCAAATTCCATATCAGAGGATCCCTGAAAAACGCTTTATTAAACTGTTTGGTAAGCAACTGTTAGGAAACTTTCATTATTTTTAGATTCATTCTTCCAAAAACTTTGGAAAATATTTACATTGTTAAGAGAAAAACTTTCTACAAGCCAAATTCCAATTCCAATCAAAGACCAACGTGTCAATTTACTTCCCGAATCATTTCATTAACGAAACAGTTAATAGCTTTTGAAATGTAATACCTCTGAACTACTACGTAACCGCATAAGCATTATTCCGATCCTAATTAAATGCTGTAAACTTCACGTACTATTATTATTCCCGAAGGGTTAAAAATAACACATTGCTTACAAACATTCATATCTCTTAGGCTATGTCAGTGTAAGATGGCTTCGTTGCCGTCTCTTCATGTCAGATAACCTCAGTATTATTCTCCTCCTCGTAGCTCTTGAAAAGCCGAGTGTCAACAGGGATCCTGCTTCCGTTGAGCATGTCTTTGCTCGTCTCATTTATAACCTTTCGGCAACAGCTTTTCTTCTGAATTCGTTCATTTTGTTCCTTTCCTGGATGAAAAGACAAGCAGGACATAAACATGATAGGTGCAGCTCGTCACCGCCGCGATTGCTGGTTTACATAACGGCTGCTGCTATTTACTAATCAGTCCGAGCCTGTCAATCGTTATTAGATGGCGGATTAAAGTGATGTGTTCTTTGTATGCATAGTGCTATGGTTAATTAAACGTCCTTAGTAAAAATGTTAGTTTACTTATACTTGACGTTGTCAATTTTCTGCAGTAGCCTATTCATCTGACGAGTCAACAACTGCTTCGTTTTCCAGCGTTTGAGTCAATCAGGGAACCATTAAGGGCCATTAAGTCATTTGTGTGGATGTTGCCACCTTTTGGCGTACGTGTGCCATTTAAATAAAGCCGTGTTTGTTCTGCGCTGTTAAATACAAGACAATCACACATTACTGTTAATAATTTACACGACAGGTATGTGGGTAGATTGTCTGCAGATGACGAATTATGGACTCGAGACGTGTCTGGCATCACAGGGAAAGCGGAATTTGATTGTCCAGCCTACGTCGCGGGCTATTCAAAATCGGACATGTGAGGGAAAGCCAACTGTGGTAAGGTTCGCCTTTTTTGCAAAGACCCTGAATAATGAAAACGCAAATGGTAATAGCTCAGACTGAAATCATGCTTAAGCCTACGCATAAGCTTCCAACAGTTTTGTCTAACTACTTGACGCAGAATCAACAGCCGGCGCCCAACCAACCCGGTCCCAAGTGACTGGGTGCGCGATCGGCGCGCGGCTAGGGGAGGCGCGTCCCCGCCACTCCGCCAGCCCTATATTGTCGGGCTAACAGACTCTCTGCTCTTCATTCAGTCCCAAGACTCCGTGTGATCTCCTCTTACTGCTAGAAATGGAATAGAAAACGCTGACTCGGTTTCCAACCAAACTTTTCTCAGTTTTTTCTGGACATGAAACCTGGATTGTATAATAAGAAGACGCCGTACTTATCTGAAAACAGAGACCCCAAGCTAAGAAGTCACGCGGATTTCCGTATCACCTTGAAAATATAATTTATTAGAGTTTTTTTTTTAAGATTTTTATCTGTGAACTGAAGGCTTTTGGATGTGATTACGCTAAATCCAATCATACACATAAAGTGCTGAATTTTCCTGTTTTTATTTTTGATGCGCTTATAATTTTTGCTGATAATGAAATTCTTTCACAAGTTCGCTAAACTGAAAAACCATGCTGCCCCATCATCTCTTCAGCTGCTATAAAGCAGAGTCTCGGAGCAGCGGAGCCATACAAATCTAAATATGAATAATCCCTGAACCTGAACACTGAAGAAAGTTTACTGTACGAGAACTGCAAATCACGGCGTGCCGAGAAGTCTCCTTACACGGTACCTTTTTCAAGGGATGGTTCTGAATTCCCAGCGCCCAGGAGCAACATTGAGGCTCCTACAGAATACCTTTTTGTTGTCCGGGGAAAAACTGAGATTAAATGGAAATGAAAACCGCAGTTTACATCTTCGTCGTCTGTGCCTTTTGTCGGCAGTGTGTCACTTCTGAGGTAAACCGTGAGACATATTGCAACGCTGAAGTGTTTGTGATCCCCTCTATGGAGAAAGTGGCAGCAGATGCCACCCTTACTGTAATCAAACACTCCAAACCTTCTATTCAGACTGATACAGTCCGACGATGTAGGTTATGTGTGTAAGCATGTATGCGTGTATGCACCGCAGCTCGGGTAATGCAAGGTTCACCTGACACTTGGTGCTATGTGCAAGTGTGATTAACTCTACGAATCGTGTCGCTGTGCCACTATTTACCCAACGTTTTGGTTATACGGTCAACTTGCGCTAGACCTGAAACTTAACTTGTGCCCTGCGGGCGATAAGCAATTACAATGCCATTTATAGCGACCCGTAATGGCTCCCGTGAGGCCGCGGGTAATATCAAATCATCAAGGGAAAGGCTGAAGATTAGTTTTTATACGATTTATTTTATGTGTTGTATCATGCAATAATAAATATTGTAAACTTATGCAGGCCTGATTAATGTTTTTCACCATATGGAGAGAATTCAGTGAAAATGTATCGTCCCATTTAGAATAAGTATCAGAGGTGTATAACCGGTTTCAGAACTGCGGGGTTTAACTCCTGCTTTTCGGCGGCGTATGTGGCGTGAACGCGGCTTAGAGGCTATTTTAAGGCTGCGGCAGCAAGTGTAAGTTTGACAGACAACTGCAGAGAAAGCGGCTCAGTCAGCCTGGGCGATTCGTTAGCCGTCCTTCGGCCGTGTTCGGTGACTTAGACCGCAAAATCGGCAGCTTGCTGCAAAAGCACTAACTCTCTTGCCTTGTTTTGCCCTCAGGACTTACCGCAAGAACTGATCGAGAAGTTGTCCAACAGCGAAATCCGCAGCATCAGCGACCTCCAGCGGCTACTGGAGATAGACTCCGTAGGTAAATTCCGTCTCTCCTTTACTTTCCCTGACCTTCGCTCGCCGGCTATCGCGCTCTCACTGAAGGCTGTTTACCTGCGCGTTTATGAGTTACTAAGCACAGGGCAGCCATAAAACTAAAAAGCGACAAGGAAAGATAATCGATCCTCGAAGGTCGTCCAGGAATGGATACAGTCGGTCAAGAACTATCCATCAGTGATTATGAAAGCGTTTATATTTGTACATTTTCCGAAAAAAGTTGAAGTGCAAAATGGTGATGAGTGATACTCAGTGCAAGCGGCGCTTGGGCATCTCGGCTCGCCCGTCTGTGCGGTGTGGCCCCGGGCTATACAGGTACAGGCAGTGCAGTTTTCGGTAAGAAATACAAATATCCGGCAGCTTTTCGGTAGATCGGCACTCCAGTCCAGTATAAACAGCTATAAATGCAGACCGCACAGTGGTATGTATATTAAACGCGAAGCGGGTAGTAAATCAGATACGATGAAAGCATATTTGAGAGTGCTCCCTTTAACTACGGACGAGGTGATTTAATTTCCCCGGATTCACAGGGTGTGTATTCAGTTTTCGGAAAAAAACGTAAAGCGCTCGGGAGGGAGAGAAAAATATTACTTGTACAGCATGTGACACGATGGACTTTCGTTACGAAGTTTTTTCGTCCGAATTCCTGCGACAGTTGCCTGTGCAGTAATCTGGCTTTATAGTGCCTGGGCTGTAAACCGAGGGTAAGAGGCTGCAGCCTGAAGGGCTCAGCGTGGTTCATCCATCCAGATTGTGTTACAAACCGCAGGAGTTCACGGGAGCCTTTATTTACACAAGGACGTGCTATACATATAAATATAATCGTTTCGGAAGTGTTTGGTGACAATAGATAAATATAGAGTATAAAATCAATAAATGTTAGTTTATTCATTTATCACGGAGAATTCACTTGTTTTTGGATAAATTGTAGAGTAACTTTGTTAGCGCTCCAGTATGTCGACTATTTATCCTACAACAGGACAAATGGGGCTCATTTGAATGTGCGTGCCTGTCAGACACTGCATGATGCTCGTAGGTGAATTAAAGCGCTACTTTGTACGGTGGAAAGTTTCCGATGAAACGTCAGCACCCGGGTGACTGTTACTGCGACTTCAGTCTGTGGCGCATGAAAAGCCTTTGACGCTTTTGTTGCAGCCGACGCGTAAAACCGCAGGACTGCAGCCCCGAGGACGTTTGCTGCATGTGTGCACTGAGGCTCCAGGCTGCAGGTCCGCTTACACCGGAGATAACGGGGTTAGAGCCGTTAATTTTTTTCCATGTTTCTATACAAATACAGTTCCTCTCTGGTGTTGGAACTCGATGCTGTAACATATACGATTTTTAGGATATATAATAGGGTCTTTTTACAGACTGGGAATCAAAGATGCATATCGTGCTAATTGTCTGAACCTGTCTACACCTGGATCGGGGCTGTCATGCCTAGTACGTGATCTCTAGAACTTGCTATGGGGCAGACATGTTGCATGCAGTCACTCCAGGGGGTGTGGGTGGGCCCTCTTGTCATTTATATATGTAAAGCGTTATATTCTGTGAGGATTCACTGGACACGATTCTGTCTTTGTGTTAATCTTGCCACTGGGATCGTGTTTGGTAATGTGGTGGTATCTGAGTGTAACTGCAGACAGTCTGTGAGTAGGAGCCCCCCCCAGAGGCCCGAGACCCAGCATGTCGTCCCAGTCACCTGTAACTCCTCCTCATCGTCCCCTTTGTATCATGCCGGTGTCCCCTGCGCGCCAGGAGGGAGAAAGAAAACAGCTCCTTTTGTCACACAGAAAGAAGTCAGTCCATAAAGACCTCTTTATCTCCATACCCCTGCCCCCCCCCCCAGCCTCACGGCAGCAGTGCCCTCCTAATGGGGGGGGCTGCCCCCTGGAATGCATTGCTGTGGCTCCCTGGCGTAACCGGAGCCCACGCAGCCTAATCTGCTAATGGAGAAGCTTCCCTTTGTCTTCCGCTTTGTTTTCATTCCCCTCCCGCCGCTGCAGGTTTGGGCACTTCAGCTCTGCCCCCCCACCCATGGGGGGGGGGCCTGTTGGACCACCACCTTAGCGTTTGAGGCGGCATACGCCGGCCTGTGCCTGTGTGTGAGGGCATCCTGCCCCCCCCATGGGTTATAACCTGGATCCCGCATGTTTCTATTGAACCTTACCCAACATGCGTGCACCCTGCCACCAACGCATGCAGACACACATGCAGACACGCATCAAACACATGCAAACACGCAAGCAAATACACATCCAAACATATGCAAACACGCATACAGACATGCATGTACACACACACAGGCAAACAAACACTCAAACTCACGCAAACACGCATGCGGACATGCACACAAACACGCGCAAACTGGAATGCAGGCACATACACAGACACACAGGCAAACATACACCCAAAGACACATGCAGACATGCATACAAACACACCCAAACATGGACATGCAAACACACGTGTAAATATGCACGCAGACAGACATGCACACATACATGTACACAAACACCCACACATGCAAACCCACGCATACACGCATAGGCTTGCTGCTTCGGCCCAGTGTCTCTTGGCAGCGTGGCAGGGGTGGGGGGGGGGTCCAGCCACAGTGCTGCCTTTTTATTCAGCCAGTGGGGGTCCCGCACTGGAGCTTAGCTTCCTGTTTCCTAAAGTCTGACAGATGTGGAGTGAAATCCGGGTCACTGTGACATCCAGGTTCGAAACTCACCGCAGGGTGCTCTGAGAGGTGCTGTAACCCCCCCCCCCCACAATGTAAAAATAACAGATTTTATCACAT